CTTTTTCCAAATGATTCTAAAATACAACATGGGTTTAATTGCAATGTTTGTGGTAGATTGGACATATTGCAAAATTTTATTATGATTTTCAAAAAGCTTCTATGTTGTAAAATGTTCCAAATAGACCCATTTTTAAAAGTATTTCGCCTTTGCAAAAAAGCTTCAAATAATTCACCTTTGTTTGTAAATGTTCCACGTGCACATCCACATGGTCAACATAAACAAATGTATCATCTTCATTGCACTTATTACAATCGAATGTGTCATTTGCATAATTATTGTTATGACCGGATCCGTGCATAAAATGCATCCAAAAGGGATCATAATCCTAGGGCTTTAAGCTTTAATAATAGGGGTCATGTCCCAAGACTCGTAGGTACTAAGAGTAATTGGGTACCAAAATATGTTTAATCTTTAAAAATGAATTCTTTAGCTTTTTAGTTTTTTTATGTTCTTAAAGATGATTTCTATTTAAGTTTTATAAACAAAATTGAAAACAATTTTATACTTAGAATTTGATTTAAAAAGTTATCATTCATTTTTTTTCATGATTCTCTTTCATAGATTTTCATGTTTCATCCTTTATGAATTGATGCAAATTTTTATCAAGATGATTTTTCTATGATAAAGCATAATTTTTTGATAGAATACATTGTTTTTAATTTTTTTTTTTAAGTTTGAACAATGTGTTTATGTTTATGGGATCATTATAAAACACTCTTATGATGACAAGTTTTTCTTGTTTTTGTCGAAAATGAGTATATTGATCTTTTATATATTCATCCAAAGCATACTAATCCTTGATCTTTATGGATAAAATTTATAAATGTTTCGACAAAGTTTCTTTGTAATCATGTATATAGGAAAGATGTGTCTATTATTCACATTGATACAAAATATTCTTTTTAGTGGACATCTTTGCCTACCCTCTTTGCTTAGAGATTTTTTGTGACTTGAGCATGTTTGTCATTTGAATCATATATTTGCTCAATCATCTTATTTTTTGTTAAAATGATACTTTATGCTTTTCCATGAGCAAGATTTTTGTTTTCATCAGTTTTCATGAACTTGTACTTTATTTTTATGTATTGAGACTTCATTCTCATAATAATGTATTTATATATGTTCTCAATCAATCATAATTTATGGTTTGATAACTTATGAATTTTCTTTTGGAATTATTGTCAAATCATTTGATTCTTAATTTTTAATTTTTAAATCTTTGATTTTCATTTTTAGGATTTTTTTTTTGTTCTATGGATATATATCCTATGGATATATATATCTATGTTTTAGACTCTTGTGACACATTATCTTCATAACATATGCATATGTGTTCACTTGATCTATCTTTGTATGTGAGTTGTGTTTAGCATATCTTACATTTATGCTTACTCACATGGTTGCCATGATTTTTATTGTATATATTCTTTATGGCATTTTGATAGGGGGAGTTATGTTAAGTCCCGTAATAATTTTTGTTATATACTTGTTTTATGGTTTGAAAAACATTTTGATGTAGTGACTTCTGTTATGAAGTTTGATTTGTGTTGTATGGCACTTAAATGTTTAGTTGTTTTGGCTGTTTAAGATGTTTTTGTTTGTGTAAGCTTGGTTGGTGTTTGAACATATGAGTGTTGTAAACTCTAATTTTTGCTTATATATATATATATATATATATATATATATCATGTTCATCTCCTTATGCCTCTTAGGATGAAATGTAAAATGTGTAGATATGGTTGTGTTTATATATATTCTCTCTGTGTATTCTTGCTTACAACCTATATCTATTCATGCTTTATGGCTAACCATTCTTACAGGCTTTTAAATAGGGGGAGAATCCCTATTTTTTATATATCTCACATGTGCTTATATGTAGGGGGAGATTCTAGCTCTCGTTCTGTTATTTTTCACCATTTTTTATGTTGCCAAAGGAGGAGAAAATTATGAGTATATAGCATTGTGAGTATATAATATTTATTCAAATTGGTTTCTTGACTTTTTATGCATATTGATAAATTGTTTGTCATCATCAAAAAGGGGGTGATTGTTGGGTCCTCTTGTTTTGATAATGATTTTACAAATAATTTACATCTAATATTATTTTTAGTATTTTGTTTTCTGTTGTTTAGTATATACAGGTAATCAAGCTAAAAACAAGATATATTGAAGCTAAGCATATCAAGTCAATCAATACAAATCCAAGCTTCAGAAGATTCTTTTCTGCTATACTTAGTATATAATTATATAATGTGTGTTAATTCTATAAGCTCAAATGTACACACACATTACATTTGTGAATTTTCATGAAAATAGGTGTTTTTATGCAAAATACATTCAAATATGTTTTGAACTATACAAACTTTGTTAACATCTTTTATTATGTCCATAAAAAGATTACACAAGTTTTCAGAACTTGATTTGAGCTAAAATGGCAAAAACAACATATTTGAAAAACATGTATTTTAGCACTTTTGAATATTTCTGAGTTTTCACAAATGGTAAGAGCAATTTAAAAATTTTCTTTTCCAATATGTTCATATTCATGATTATAAACTTTTCCTGAAGTTTTATATTTTTTGGAATTTAAATACTATTTTTAATAGAGCCTCAAAACTCATATTCAAAAATAGTTTCAAGCTGATAACTTGTTATCAGTCGACTGATCAGTCGACTGATGTCATCATTCGACTGAAGAATATGTCTGTAATCTTTAAAAGTTTATGTTCTATTTTGGTCGACTGACCAGTCGACTGATGATCCATCAATCGACTGATAAAAACAATCAGTCGATTGATGAGCTGTCTGACGCCTTCAACGATCAGCTCATCAGTCGACTGATGATTTCCGCCAGTCGACTGATAATCCATGACGATAATTTTTCCAGCCTTGAGTATTTTAACGTTTTTGCTGGTTTTCTTGGGTTTTGTGCCTTGTTTTTTCTTCCTATATAAACCCCTATTGTTCTCATCAGAATAACTATTCAAGAGGGTTTTAACAAGAGTTTAAAAGTGTTTAAAAGAGTGTTTAAGTTTGAGTTTACAAGGAGGTGGCTTGCTCTTTCAATTGAGGAATTCATCCTCAATCTTCTTCATCCTCTATTTGTTTATAGATAAGTTTTTCTAACTCTTTTCTCTAGAAATTTATTATTAATTTTTATTTTATTATTATTGCTAGTTTGCTAATTGAGTTAGGTTTCATTTTACACTCATTTTATCTCTCTCTCACACACACACACACACACACACACACACACACACACACACACACACACCCTATTTGAGATTGTAGGATTTCATACATCATATATTGGGTTGTGGGTTTGTGATTTGTGAGATTGAGCTTACATTGAGTTCTCATCCAATTAGAGAATACTTTATTGTAATTGAGCTTTATTGTGAGTTGCACATTATATTATACTTGTACACCGAGAAAAGTGTGTGGTGAGAGACGGTGTCGGTTCCAAGAGGAGTGGGGTCGGTAGTAAAGCCTAGTGAGAGATGGTAATTCCGAACACTTGAGGAATGTGACATGGGCTAGGCCAACACTTAGAGGGTGTGAAGTGCATTTGCAAGTGTGTAAGTTATAAAGTTTTCGGTGAGCTAGAAAACCGTATTGTGAGGTGTAAACGTTATTCGGGTGAGCGTAGAAAACCCGGTTGTGATAGTGGGGATCTCCTTGAGGTGAGGAGTGGAGACGTAGGTCGTGGGGACCGAACTCCATGATCATATCTTGTGTTTGCGTTTGTCTTTTGCGCACTATCACTTGTGTCTATTTACTCTTTGTTCATATATCATTGCATATATCAAATTGAATATCAAGATTGCTAGGATATATTTGTTAATAACTTTTAATCGACATTAATATCTAATAAGATTAGCAATAACCATATTCATCTCCCCCTCTAAGGTATTTTCACGACTAGCTAGAGATCCCTGTGTTTGGGGGTGGGGGGTAGTCAAATAAACTAGAACTAGGATAATTTATAAGATACAATTTTATAATATTAGTCAGCTAGAACTAAATCAAGAACAAAATTTTACAGTGTTAGTCTACTAGAACTCTAACAAAACTAGAACTAGGATATTGTACAAAGTGATCCCAACTTTTTTTATTTTTCTGTATACAAATGAGAGTTCTAGTCTCTCAAATTACTCTAAGTTTTAGCTTAGAACTAGTGATAAAAACTAAAACTTCTATTTATTTTATTATTATTTTATTTTTTATATTTTTTCTTTACTTTTTTCCTACTATGGTCATCACCATTATAACACCATGTCGTCAGATCAGATCTCGTCTCTCTTAGTCATCTTTGATATTTTTTTCTCAAATGTTATAATTATATAACTAATTTAAAAGTAAAAATTGTATCAATACATAATGTATTAAACAATAACATTGAGTGATGAGGGAAACAGATCTCGGGAGCAAAAAGAAAGGAAATTTTTAAAAAGGTTTTTCAGACTTGTACTATAATAACAGTTAAAAAAATAAAAAAGCTACAACATATATTATAATAATAATTGTCAATATCTTATAGTCTAACCAAAAGTTATTTAATAGTAAATAACATTTTCGTAAACAATCATCAATAATAATGGTAAGTTTAAAATACGTAAATAATATTTGTATCCTCAAAATGCATGCATATATACTTCATGATTATAAAAATATATTCCATGTTATTTTGTCAAAATATTCCGCTTCATAAAATTATTCCTATTTATCTCACTAAAATGTTCCACTAGTAAAAAATTATTTCACTTTAATAAACATCCACTTGGCCCCAATCAACTAATGCCCCCTAATGGCATCGGATAAATTCAGAAAACTGATTCGGACAGGAATAGTTCCAACAATAACGGGTCGGATCCGAATCTAACAAGTCCTGACAGTAAGCGATCCAGTTAGCGGTCGGCCCAAAAAGTGTACGTACTATTCACGAGGGCAATTTTCACATTAAACATCTTCATGTTAACTGTTTTCTAACATAACCTTTAATTAATGAAGTCCTCGTTTTCCAGTCGGCAAACTACTCTCTTTTCCAGTTTATTTTATTTTAATTTCTCCAAACTTGGAAAACCCTAACCTCTTGATTCGGAGGTTCGAATTCGGCGCTCTTCGCAATCTCTGCAAGTAACCCATCTCTTTCTCTCTGAGTTTTTTCCTCATTTATTTTTTGGTCCAAATTTTAGATTCTTCAGTGGAATTTTAGAGTCATAATGCAAAATTATGGAGTCGTGGAGTTTTAGGAGGGAGTTGGAGCTCCAAGATGGTAAATTGTTTCCAATTCTGGAGATAAAGCAGTAGCTTTCTTGATTATTTTTGGTGCTGGTTGACGAGGTATTGCTATTAGTAGAAATTTGATTAGAGATCCGAAGATCCAGTTCAATTAATTTCTAATTCAAGTCTGTACAAGATCTCTATTTGAGGCAACGAACTTTAAGCAGCTCCCGAAGTTGGGAAAGACTGGATTTTTAAAGAAAACATGACTATGGCTTCGCCTCGTAAAGGGCTTGCTGGTGTTATGCCGTTCGCGAGCTCTAGAACCTCCATTGTTGTTGCAGTTGGAGGACTAGCTACGTTCCTCGTTGTGGCATCCGTACTTCTTACTTCGTATCCGATCAATTCGTCGGTTCAAGGGTATTTTCAAGAGGGAGCCCGAGTGGACAAACCCTCGTTTGTGTCGCCGAAAGAGAACCAGACTGAAGCCCTTGTTTTGAGGAGGAAGGGGCCGCCTTTGGATGGGCATGAAGGTATTGGTATTGAGGAGCCTATATCTTCAAATGTGAAAGAAGATGTTGATATGAATGAAGATTCGGTGAAAACATCTTCTGATAAGAAACAAATCGGGCCATCAGAGGCGTCAGATAGTCACGATAGCGGGAGGGATTCGGCATCTGGTACAAAATTATCTTTGGATGGGGAAAAGGAAGTTGGGATGGCTAATAGCTCAGTTTCACAAAATAGTACTAAGGTAATAAACATTGATAAGAATATTTCCGCAGGCTCAAAGAATGAATCTCAGAAGGTCAGTTTGGAAATTCACGATAAGGACCCTGCCACTGCAGATGCTGTAACAATAGTTCATTCACCTCCCGCAGAATTAAAGACGGAGGATGGAAAGGCTGAGTCAAGTAAGTCCCTTACTATTTTGTGTTATATTTTTAGTTCATATTCATGTTTTTCGTGACTTGTGAATTGTGATGTAAGTGAACTAGTCTACTTGATTCTTTGCTTCATTAGGCATCTGTCTACTTGTTGCGGACTTCATATACCGTTAGGTATGATTAGGTTATTTGCTCGATAAACATTGAACAGTTCTCATTTATGTTGTCCCTTTTTCATGTGTCGTTAGATGCTCTTGTATATAGAGTAGTCAGTGATAGAGTTACTTAAGATACTATCAGTAGTAGGTACCCTATGGGTCCCTGTTGAGATCGTCTCAACCGTTGTTAACAATGCACGGTGCGCAATGCGGGCGCAAAGTCCCTATACACGCGTATGCTGAAGGCACAATGCGATGCACGTGCCGGAGAAGCGAAGCGCACACCACACACATACTTTCTCGAGATAGATAATCACACATGAAATTCCATGTTTACATAGAAATACGGTAAGTCAAATAATATCCACTACCAATTTACGAATAAGGTCTTATTTCATAATCCTAACACAACCAACATAGTAGCAAAGTTCATCGTTTCAAAATCAAAAGTAAAACCAGGACTAACATCGAAGCAAAATCAAATAGTTAATAAGAACGAGTTAGAGTCCTCAATCGAGCTAGTAAAATGGTCTAATGAGTTTATTTTTTCTTCTTGGGATATGGATTATCGGGTTTAAAGACCCCGTTGAAATGTTAAAAGAACAACAAAAACATATGTGTTCCTTAAATTGCATACGCCTTGTTTGAAGCCTCCTTGGAGGGATCTTGCGAGGCGCAAAAAGGCGTTGCCACATCAGATGCGGTGCGCTTCGTCATTGCCCCGTATCGCAGGCTGCATGTGGTGCGACCTTTGATAACACTGATCTCAACTTTCAAAGATTTTAAAGAAACAAAAAAAAAACAAAATTGAAGTTTTCATACCAATATGTATACTTGCAAACTACAACATAATCCCCTCACCTTCTAACTTATGAGCACGTTGTACATTTAGATGAGAAAGGAATCTCTTGGTACTTCATGATAGCATGCGCTAACTTTCAAAAATGTACATCTTTCATTTTTTTTGTACTAAGTACAGTGCTTAAATTTGATGTCTCATCTTGCAAGATTGGATGATTTAGTTGCGGTTTTACACTAAGACCCAAGAATTTTGATTTGTGTAGCTTTTTCCTATCCAGTAATAATTCAATTTAACAAGGAAATGACCAAAGTTAAAAAAACAAGAAAGAAAAGAGCCAAAACATCTCATTGCATATCCCCGATATTATTACTTGATTGAAGTTGTAAGTAAAACAAATTAAACATTCATATGGAGGAGTGAGGGTGGGGAGGAGCGTAGGAAAGGAACGGGAGTGGATGAGGACCTTGCTATAGGATAGAAATGTTACCTTAACTGATTTGGTTTCTATAAGAAACCATATCGTAGTGAGGAGTCATTGCAAATGTTATGTTATTCAATCTGATGCAATGTAGTCATAATATTTAAAGTGTTGGAGGGTATTGTGAATCTAATTGCACATGGGGTCCCATCATTCAACTGCTTTAGATGCAACAGACTGAGTGGGAAGAGACTGAGTAGAAAGAATGCAACAACTTTAGTTGCAATACAACTAGAAGTCAAGTACTTCAGTTTCAGTGAGTGGTTTGTAGTAACAAAGGATAGCTCCTTCAATAGGTGGAGGATATCCTAGTTCAAATGAAGGGGAGGAGGTGACAGATTCCGTTGTGTGTGCCATACAAACTACAACTCACAGTTTGATGGCAATGAACATTAAATTAATTATAATTGTTGGTGCTTCATTAGTTAATATGTGAAAGAAGTTATAGTTCCTATACTATTGTTGTAGAAAATTTGTATTCACAAGCAAGTCTAAAGAGAAAAGGAAGTATCCTCTTTTCTTGGTTTATGAGCAACAGAGTTCCGAGTGGGATGCTTGATGAGTGTATAAACTTATTTTTATTTGTTTTCTTTTAGTGGGTATGAGTTGATAAAATTATCATTCCCGTAAGTGTTAAAAAAAACTTTCTTTGTTGATGTATCAAGAATAAGAGTACTATTTTATATTTATAGAATTAGTGACTATATATAGAAGATGGTACGATGCTACAAAATGCAATACATTATAGTACAATTTTTAACATTTCCTCTCAAATTCACGCTAGACCGAAAACCATGAGATTATTTTAAATAGAAATAGATAGATTCGGTCTGTCGAACGCGAAGTCGGTCGAATCTGAGTAGGTAAGTTTGTAACATAACGGATCATATCTGCATTAGTATTGGATCGACTGGATCTTGAAACTTGACTTGTAGGAGCGTACTGAACAGATATTGTACTAAATATGTATTAAGAGCGGATGATGTTGGACAAGATTTGTCGAACAAGCAGATCAGATAGATCTTGGATTAGAGTGTAGAACAATGAATAAGGCAGATCTTGAATTGGTTTTTTAGATGAATGAGTTGGACTACATACTTAGATCTAGTGTGCAAAACATGATGTGTTGAAGAGATGTAGAACGAATGCTCAATTAATGTTCGTATGTGGTAGAGTTGGTCAAATCCAGAAAACTAGTCGAAGTTGTTTTTGTCGCAGATTGTTGTGATGCTACTAGCCAAAATTATTCATCGATTGAAATTTCAGAGCTTTACGTGCAAGTTGAGGCGCATTAAAACAAGGCTAGTCCTTTGTGAGTTATTGGATGTTAATAAACCAAAGAACTTTTATGGAAAAACTTCCTAAATTGTGGGAAAAAACTATTGCCGAAGATCCTCTGTGGTAGATAAGACAATGACAATACAGTTGGAAAAGCGGTAGTTATAATAGGAGAAATGATGGAGATAATGAAGTTGATTGAATCTCTTGTCAGATAGAAAGATAGTAATAGATATGATTCGATCGATGAAGACTACAGGGGAGACGATAAGGAAGTTGATATGACATGGTCAAATGTGATCGTGCGTGGTCAGAGAATATGACAAGCGGAGCTTGTGTCAAGTGAACTGAGTTCGATGACGATGAAGGGCGATGACCACAAATAAAACATTGTTTGGCAATGGCGATAGGGATGCTAAACACTTAGGATTTAACAAATTGATTTGAATTTCTAATCAAATCTGATGTGGATCTGGATATTAATATATAGATCCGGTCAGAGTCGGATCCGGGCATTCTTTTATGATTTAAACTGGATACAGATTTGGGTCCGGTTTATTCAAGCGAAACCCAGATGGTTGTTCAAACTTTCAAGTACTAATACTTTCAAGTACTAATAAAGTTAATGGATTCTTTGTTAATTGAACGCCTGCTCTTATACAAACCCATGTGACCTAATGTTTAGTTTAATAATTGCTTCTAGGAATATTAAAAGCAATTCCTTGAGAGAGCATTCTTCCCAAATTCAAAATAAATAAAATAGGAATCTCTTTCCTAAGTTCCTAAATCTCAACCCAGAAAATAAAATAAATTAATGTCATCCATCTCATATTTTTTAGTTTATACTAGATCATTGTAAGTTTATAACTTGGCTTCTAGGAATATTAAAAAGATGAATTATTAAACGTTTAATGATAAAAAATAATTTCCATAAAAAATGGATAAGAATAATTGATATTAATAGAAAAGTTAGTTTATATATTCGAAAGAAGAGGTGGTCTTCATTTTTTATTAAATGTTGCAATTTTTATGTCATGTTTTATCTCTTTGTGCAAAATCGAGCAAGTAATATTCACATTTCTCTTATATCTGATGCATATCCATTTGCTAAGTACGTAATTCATATTCACAATTGTATCTGTATCCATTTCTCTAATGTCTAAAACTTTTTTTTTGCGGATATGAATATGGTGTGTTGAAATAGTAATATGTTTAGGGGCTTATGTGTAAGTTGTAGGGGCCTATATAAGCCCATCTTATCTCATGAATAAGATCAGGGTTTTCATTCTCAATATGGTATCAGAGCCTCCACAAAAAACCTAACCCTAGCCGCCGTCCCCCCCCTCTTCTTCCCCGATCAGCTTCCAACCCCCCCTTGATCTCTGTCCGATCAGACCCCCCTCCCTTCCGCCTCCTGCAGAGCAGCCCCAAACCCACGACCAGAACCCCCCACGGCTCCAGACCCACCTGACCCCCACCCCCACCTGTCCGCAAACCCCACGACCAGAACCCCAGACCACCCCGACCAGAACCCCACGACCAGAACCCCCTCCTCAACCCTAAACCCTACGACCAGAACCCCCCAGACCCGACCAGACCCCCCTGCTGCCACCTCCAAACCCTTTCCTAGCCGCTGCCACCTCAAGCCCCCCCTGCTGCGCTATGTCGGACCTAGAGTTTGGCATGGGTTCCCTTGACTCAGTCCTCGAACTGATGACAGGAAGAGTTTATATCTCACATCGATGAGATATATAACTGGTTTTGGTTCTTGTGTTCAGGGGGAGCTACTAACCTATAGTAGGAAGGGGAAGCATATTGTAGGAACAGTACATATAGTGCCACTAGTGCTGCCAAGTCTCTTGACAACACCTGCCCCCGACTCCTGAGACACCTACACCACCACCATCCCCTTCCCAAGGTGATAACATTCCTCTCCCTACTCCTCCCACACCAATATCAGTACGGAGGACTACTCGCAGTAATGCGGGACATCCTCCCGATAGATATGGTTGGGATCTTGCCCAATTTATATCATATTCTAATATCCACCCTGCACATGGAGCATTCATTGCATCATTGGATTCTGTTACTGTACCTAACAATTGGCAGGTTGCTAAGAAGGATCCAAAGTGGAAAGCAGCTATGCATGAGGAGCTAGGAGCTCTTGAGAAAAACCGCACTTGGGAGCTAGTAAAATTACCAGAAGGGAAGAGAGCAGTTGGGTGCAAGTGGGTCTTCACTGTGAAGCAGAATCCAGATGGACAAGTTGAGCGCTACAAGGCTCGTCTGGTGGCAAAAGGGTATAGTCAGACATATGGCATCGATTATGATGAGACTTTTGCACCGGTGGCGAAGATGAGCACTGTTCGGACCTTAATCTCTCTGGCAATAAATGGTGGATGGAAGTTACACCAACTAGATGTGAAGAATGCATTTCTTCATGGAGATCTAGTGGAGGAGGTATATATGGAGATACCACCAGGATTTGGTACAGATCAGACAGTGGGAAAGGTCTGTAGATTGAAGAAGTCTCTCTATGGGCTGAAGCAGTCTCCTCGTGCTTGGTTTGACAGATTCAGAAGGGCTATGATTGGTATGGGGTACCAGCAGATCAACGCCGATCATACCGTATTCTTTCGACGAAGTGGAGGCCACATTACCATGCTGGCGGTATATGTGGATGATATGATTATTACAGGAGATGATGAGAAGGAGATTGCCCAACTCAAAGTGAGACTGGGTAAGGAATTCGAGGTGAAAGATCTTGGCTTGCTTCGATACTTTCTTGGAATAGAGATAGCTCGAGGAGCGGAGGGAATCGTCCTATCCCAGAGAAAGTATGCACTGGATCTTCTCAAAGAGACAGGGATGTTAGGGTGCAAACCTGCAACTACACCGATCGACCAGAAGTTTAAGCTGGGTGCTGAAGCTGGAGAACCAGTTGATCGTGACAGATACCAGAGACTGGTGGGCAGGTTGATCTATTTGAGTCACACACGTCCTGATATCTCTTTTGCAGTGAGCGTGGTGAGTCGCTACATGCACGATCCGAGGAAGGGTCATATGGACGCTGTGTACCAGATTCTGAGATATTTAAAGAGTGCCCCCGGGAAGGGACTGATATTCAGGAAGAATGGACATGTGAACATCGAGGGTTATTGCGACTCTGATTGGGCTAGCTGTGCTGATGACAGGAGATCCACCTCAGGATATTGTATCTTTGTAGGAGGTAACTTGGTCTCGTGGAAGAGCAAGAAGCAATCGGTGGTAGCGAGATCAACAGCTGAAGCAGAATATAGAGCCATGGCCTTAGGAGTTACAGAGTTATTGTGGTTAAAGAGTATGTTGGTGGAGCTGAAGCTGGATCAAGGAGCCAAGATGAAGCTGTGGTGTGATAACAAGTCAGCCATCAGTATCGCCAACAACCCAGTGCAGCATGATAGAACCAAACACATCGAGATCGATAGGTTCTTCATCAAAGAGAAGTTGGACAATGGACTACTGGAGTTAAGTCATGTTCCAACTAAGGATCAGGCAGCAGATTGTCTGACTAAGGGGCTTAGCTCAGTAGATATGATTAGAGGATGTGACAAGATGGGCTTAGTGGATATCTTTCGCCCATCTTAAGGAGGAGTGTTGAAATAGTAATATGTTTAGGGGCTTATGTGTAAGTTGTAGGGGCCTATATAAGCCCATCTTATCTCATGAATAAGATCAGGGTTTTCATTCTCAATATGGTGTCATATCCAAAATGTATCCGATCCGTTTATACCCCTAAACGACGTTGAACTTAGTCGCAGAGAGAGCCAAACTTCGTGGAGAAGGAGGACTTGACGTTTTGTTGATGGGAAAATTGTAGAGATGACGCTTGCATAGAAACCCCTCATTGAGTACAGTTTTCAAAGACAATAGGCTCTCTAAATGTAAATATTTGACTTCTTATACCGTATCAAAGGTCCCTTCTATTACGCCAAACCTCTGATGTGTTGAGGGTTGAGGGTTAAATTTATATTCTACACAAGCTCCCACAAGTTGAACGTCCTTTTTATGGGCCCAAACTCATAATTGTAGAGCAATAAGGTGCTCAAATTTGCTTTAAATTTGTGGCTGGTGTGAATTGAACCTGAATTGCTCTGACTCAGGGTTAGAAGAAACTTTTTGAATTGCTCTTGTAACTATATTTTGCTATGCATGCAGCTATCTCAAATAGTTTACCATTACCATAGTTGTATTCATATATTTAAACTATAGATATCTGATATCCATATTTCTTGGAAATTGAATATGGAATGAAACATCGACCAAATTATTTGCACCTGGGTGCATCCTATTTCCAATATTTTCATGTAACCTCCAAGATAGAATAAATATGGTGAAGTTAGCAATGTGTACTTTGTTTTGTTTATCAATGTATTTATTTTGGAGTATTTACATCCCCATACCACGTGGTTTAGCGCAATTACACTGATGACCCTGGGCTTTATGTATCTACACGGATAGCCTTGAGATTAATAACTGAGATTGCCCGAATAACCCTGAGGAACCCTAGATTTCTTTCATTAGGGTTATTAAAGTAATCTCATTCAGTAACCTCAGGGTTATCCGTGTATATACACAGGGGCATTTGTGTAATCGGGGTATAAATATTCCCTTTCTTTTTGAATATGTAGTTTTAGTTGACTTAACTGTAGACATTCATCACCATTGAATCATAAATTATTGCAGACCAAATGAAATTGTTGAAATTTGATGAGTTTTGTGCTTCTAAGCCATCACATTTGCTTGATTTATGTTGAAGAATTTCTTTTAAAAGACATGTAGAGAAGCCTTTTTCAAATTTTGTTAACAACCTTCTATTGTGTAATTACTGATGTTTATTGGTAAGCTTACCTTGTGTTTTTATATCTATTGTTCAGCGAAGTGTGATCTGTACCAAGGGAAGTGGATATATGACTCAGCTGGACCACTGTATACAAACAACACATGCCCTTTTATCACACAAATGCAGAATTGTCAGGGAAATGGGAGACCAGACAGGGACTACGAGAACTACAGGTGGAAGCCTAACCAATGTGACCTCCCACGTTTCAGTCCGAGGAAATTCTTGGAGTTGATGAAGGGCAAAACACTAGCTTTTGTTGGGGATTCAGTTGCTCGGAATCAGTTCGAATCCCTGCTTTGCATACTATGGCAGGTTAGTTTACTTTGTATCCTAAAAATAACAGAAGGTTTATGCTTGTATAATCTTTGCAATACTATTGATGGAGAATTCATCCCTTTCCAGTGTTGGATGCCTGCCATTTCCACTTAAACTTGATCTGTTGATGAATCAGAAATTTCTAAAAGATGACACGACGTATTTGAACCAATTCCTCTGTGGTGGGTGGGACATATCAGTGGGTTGAATCGCATGAACTCCAGTGATTCTAACGGTCTGTCTGGCCTGAAATCTTACAGTTACAGGTGATGGGTGGGCCCATGGATTTAGAACTTGGATTGATGGAATACACCAATCTAGAGGGCTTCTACCCCATGTAAAAACGGCCATAGAGCTTTTGTAATTGACCCTAACCCTAACCCTAATCATAGTTGCTCAAAATGAGACCAGGTCCAACCCTGACCCCATTTTGAGGAGTTGGAAAATACACCCTAAGGGTGTGATTGGCAAACTCCTAAAACTGGGCCAGGACTGAATCTGGCCCAATTTTGGATTTGCTTTTGATTGGTAAAAACCGGACCAATTCTGGCCCAATTTTTATTAGGGCAAAAAGAGGCCATGAAACCAATTTAGTGTTGGACCGGGGGGTGGGGGGGTCTAACAATAAATTGGTTTAGAGTAGAAATGGTCTAGGGTTGAACATGGCCTAGTTTTTGGTGTTTGCTAAACACACCCTAAGAGTACTTATTTTTTGGATCATAATTCATGGGACCAACAACGGGACAAGATGACACATGTCATTGTCTTAGGATTGTAACCAAGATTCAACAACGGGACAAGATGACACATATCATTGTCTTAAAATTGTAACCAAGATTCAACAACGGGACAAGATGACACATGTCATTGTCATTAGTGGCCAACAAAGAATTGTAACCAAGATTAGTGGCCAACAAAGCGATGCATCACTTGTCCCATAATTGGTCCATGATTTTGGGTCCAAAAGTAATTTCTCTTGAATATAAATTAGAGCGGGATCCTCACGTCCACAAAATGGACCGTCGCCTTGACTACATGACGGGTCCTTCACTCACGCGGCTTTCCATTATAGATGCAGGATAGTTGGATAGGTCCCCCTGTGCGTTGATGTCACCGTTAACCACTTTTGAATCATTTGGGCTTAACAGCGCCTTGGAATAGCGACATGCTCACCGGTTAGAAGAAGCACGAGCGAGCACTGCTCGACGTTCGCATTACAGTCTCACTCAACAAGGCAAACACATAGAAGAGGTAATGAAACGAAGTGGGCACAACCACTTAGTCCGGAGAAAGATCCTAATCATAATTCTACTAGGAGAGGAAACTGGTTCTTCCACTCACTATGTTTCCATCTTATAGGTCAGAATAAACTAAAAATGGACAGAAGACTACACACAAGCAGGGCCCTGTTATGAATACACGTCCTATAGAGATTCTTTTGCAAGATAGAGAGCACAACATACAAATTAATTTCTAGTGAGCTTAAATGGATTCAAACAATTTGATGTAACTAGTAATTTTAGGGAAAATAGAATTAAACAGTTGTATTGCAATGCTAATAGTTCCTAGGGAAGTGAATTGATGGGCTTTGATTCTCCTGACAGGAAGAAACTCCCAAGAACCGAGGCAATCGTAAGATGCAGAGATGGTACTTCAAGTCAACATCCACAACAATTATCCGCATTTGGTCCTCATGGCTAAGGGGATCACCAAGGTTTTTCTTGACATCCCCGATGAAACATTTATGGAGTTACTCCCAACATTCAATATAGTCATCCTTTCCTCTGGCCATTGGTTCGCCAAGCAATCCGTCTACATACTCGACAACAACATCGTCGGCGGACAACTTTGGTGGCCGAAAAATGCTGGGAAAATGAAAGTTAACAATATTGATGCCTTTGGCATCTCAGTTGAAACAGCTATGGCTGCAATTGCAAACCACCCAAACTTTACAGGACTTGCAATTGTTCGATCGTACTCTCCTGATCACTATGAGGGTGGGGCTTGGAACACGGGCGGGTCATGTACTGGAAAGGTCATGCCAGTTAATGAAGTGGTGAGAAATGGGTTCACCGATGTGATGCATGAAAAGCAGACCATGGGTTTTCAACGGGCTGTGGAGAAGTCAGAAAACGGCCGTTCCAAATTGAGGTTGATGGATATAACGGAGGGTTTTGGGTACAGGCCCGATGGGCATCCGGGTCCATACAGGAGTCTGGATCCGAACAAGATCACAAAGAGAGGGCCACATGGTGAACCGCCGCCTCAGGATTGTTTGCATTGGTGCATGCCAGGACCAGTTGACACTTGGAATGAGATATTGTTGGAGGTCATCAGGAGGGAATTTGAGGGAGCATGATTCATTTATGTTTTACTGTAAATGTGCATCAGCCGTATTTTATGTATATTTATGAGGAGGATCTAAGACCGCGGCAACTACGCCAAGGGCACGATATGGGGGAGGTAAATCTGTTCATGTTTTGTGAATTGGCTTTTTTTTTGTGTGTACACCCGCCTCAGTTCTTCTCTGAGACAAAACATAGCTGCATGCCCTTTTGTATAGGACAGGTAAATTTTAGCCACCATCTAATCAGGTCACGTAATAGTGAATTCAAGGAAAAGAGAGGGAGAAACAGATTGACATATTATTTTTTTTATTAAGGAGAGTCTTTTAACTTATCCCTTGGTTGGGAGTGAATTATGTAACATCATATGCGGTTTCAGCGAAATTGCCTTTTTATTCGACTTGAAGAATGAGATTTCACCAGTTGCGTGTTACAGATTCTTTCTTCGGCAATGGCGATGACATAATTTGAACCATCTCAGGTTTTAGTGAATTACTGACTTTTCATTATCTGGTTTTAGTGAATTACTGAATATTTATTATCTGAAGTTTTTGTGCGGTTGGCTGATAGAGTTCTAAGCCTCTGCTTAGGGATATAAATTATATGCTAAACGCTAGGCTTGTTAGGGATACAAATTATAAGCTGCTTGTTTGACAATATTGTTAGACCCTAGAGGGGGTGATTAGGGTTTTATGCTAATCTAATCCGATTTTATGTTAATTAAAGCTAATTAATAAGTTATCCTAGCAAGTATAAAATACAACAAGATATGTGGGCTAGGATAAGTGATATAAACAAATGAATATATCCTAGCAATGAGATATTATAAAAATATGAGCAAGGATATATAAACTAACACAAGGGGAAAATAAACAATGCAAACACACAATATGATCATGGAGTTTGGACCTTCTGTCCTATGTCTCCGCTCCCATTCCGGGAGAGAAATCCACTATCACAATCGGGTTTTCTACGCTTACCCGAACAACGTTTACACCTCACACTAACACAATGTAACTACACTCCACACCCTCTAAGTGTTGGTCATTCTGTGTCCTTTCTCAAGTGCTCGGATACAACCTCTCCCTAGGTTCATCAACCGACGCCACTCCTCTTGGAAGCAACCCCGTCTCTCACCACACACTCCTCTCGGTGTACTAGTGTAATACAAAGTGAATCTCACAATAAGCATAATACAACAAATGATTTGTTCTCTAATATGGATGAGAACACAGTGTAAGCTCACTCTCAATTGTTACACAATCCCACAACCCAATTATACTATAAATGTAAATACAATAAGCTCAATAGGTTGTGTGTGAACAAAGAGATATAAATCAAAACTAAACTCAATATAGTTCTAGCTTAATAACAATGATAATCAACTATATAAAAAGAGCTAGAAATAGAGTTTAGAAAACTTCTCAATAGATCAAGAGATCGAGTGAGAGTAGTTGGATGTCCAAACACCAATAGACGATCTCCTCAAGCTCTTGTGAAATTGATTTTACAAACTCAAACTCTCAAATGCTTAAAAGCTTCTTAAACAAACTTAAACAACACTTAAACCCTTGTTAAAATTTTGTTAAAACATTTCTTAGATACTTATGAAAGATGAGAGCAAGGGGGTATATATAGCCTCCCAAAACCTCAGCCAAAAACCCAACAGAAAAGACCAAAAAGCCCACAGAATCAGAAATCAGATTCTGTACAAAAATGACCAGTTGGGCGTCGCGGTCGACGTAGGAATTTCAGCGGATCGACCGCGAGCAATAACAGAAACTAAGAAACGGCGCTGGACATCAGGGGCCGGTCGAAGCCGTGGCGGTCGACCGGCGAGCTTCTCTGAAAACAATCCTGAGTCTCTGGACTCAAGGGCGATCGACCGTGGCGGTCGACCGCAAATTGATGCATGCAAAAAAACTATTTTTTGATTTTAAAACCCTGTTTAAATATATCAAATAAATTCTAAAAATGCAAAACTTTGGGAAATGATTGTAGACATGATAATAAACATGCTACAAAGACTGGTTTTCAAAAAGGACCTCTCAAATGAAAAATATCATCATTTTACAAAATAGTCCAAAACATAAAAATGTAAACACATGAGTTTTGATATTTTAGCTTAACCATGTTTTGAAACATTACAAAATAATTTTGTAGACTTAATAAAAGATGTATATAACTATTGTTAAGTCCAAAAACTGAGAATACAATATTTTCATAAAATTGCATATCTTTGTAAACTTTTCAAAAACAATAAATATGATTTCATTAAATATACACTTGATATTGATAAAATCATATATAAGCATATAAAAATGAAACAAAAAAGTATTTTCCAATTATATTCAATTGTTTCATATTTAAACTTGAAAAACCAAAACAATAAATATGAAGGATGTAATTTCATATTTATATATACTTGGAAACCAAAACATGTATGTATATATATGATTATATATATACATAGAAAAACCAAAACGTGTATGTGTGTGTATGATTGAGCTTAAAGTACCAACACACATAATATAACACCTAAACTAAATGTTACCCAAACAATCTTGATCTTTAATAAGCTTGACTTGGTACACTTGCGGATGAAGCTTGAACTTGAGTCTTTAACTTTGACTTGCGTAGGATTCACTTCATAATTCCGCCAACCTCCATTGGATATGATCGTGAATGCGCAAATTCCATCCATCCTCCAACTTGTTGTTTGTCTACAATAAATAAATAAACACAAACACTAGACAAACAACATTAGTGGTAAATTATTTGTTAAACATCATCAAAACAAAGAGGCCAACAAATATTTCCTCCGAAACATTTTTATTGATTGTTATTCATGAAAACTTCCAATTTATCATCACAAGTGCTTGCAAGATAGCGAAGAAGTGATGACGCACCACAGAAAGAATTGTAAGAGCATGATTGGCAAATGATGAAGCGTGGCCTACCTATCATTTTTTAGCTTATTAGTAGCAGATATGAGATGTTTGACAAGTGGCTTATTTTAGTGTATAATCCATAAAAAATTAGGCTAGGATACCTTAGCCTAGTTTTGATGAATCATGAGCTATGAGGTTTAACCAAATAAAAGACAACTATACACCTTTTGATTTCACAAATTCCAATGCCTTATTGATAACTCGTCGCAAACCTCATATTTTTCGGGTTATTTTGACAATAATGATAGATTATGATGTCTGCATTTGCCAAACACTTTGCTATTAAAATATGTTTTTTGAAAAAAGTTATATTTATTTTTCCAAAATAATATTGTTCAAACAAATAATTATTTTAAAAATATTATTCTTAGTTCTTAAAAATAATAAAAAAGTAATATTTTTTAAATTAATTATAATTTTTGTAAAAATAATATTTTTTATAAAAATATTTTTTGGCAAAGCGATGATTTTTTAAAAATAATGATTTTTATAAAAATAATATATTTGTAAAATAATAACTTTTTAAAAGTATTTATCGTTGTAAAATATTGATGTTTGTAAAATATTGACTTTTGTAGAAATAATAGTTTTGTAAAAGTTATATCCTTTTTGAGGTAGATATTGTAGGCACTAAAAAATGGTAAGAAACAAAAGAGCGTTGAAGCTCAAAGTAAATTATGACGAGGGTCATGACTATGACGAACCTCGTCTCAAACAACAAAGCTTGTCATTGGAGACAAACTCCGAAGCTCGTCTATGAAGACGAAACTCAAGCTCGTCAATGAAGACGAAACTCAAGCTCGTCAATGAAGACGAAACTCAAGCTCGTCAGTGAAGACGAAACTCATTATTGAAGACGAAACTCGTCAGTAAAGACGAAGTTTGTCAGAAGAAATCTACAAGGCTCGTCACGCAACTGGACTCAACCATCAAGGATGAAGCTCGTTAGTGAAGACAAAGCTTTTTCAAAAGACAAAGCTCGTCGCATAGCAAAGTTCTTTCTGTTAGACGAACCTCGCTGCGCATCGAGGCTCGTCTCATCAGACAAGTCTTGCTATGCAGTGAGGCTCGTCATACTGCATGAAGCTCGACTGTAACGGTCTTGAAGACCTAGTCAGCCCACGTAGGCTAAATCCAGGGAGTCAGTTACGTCATGACTCCATGATTTCAGCGCATCAGTAACGTGCAAAGGCCTATAAATAGCCATGAGCATCTATGAAGACGGGACTTTTGGCCACGCCTCGACAGAGCTTTTGCACTCGAGCTTGGAAATCCAAACCTAGGTTCTTGCGGTTAAGAATCAGCAGCGGTTATCGACAACGGCCCAAGTATCCAACCAAGCGATCTTGTTTTGTTCGTCAACGAGAAGCAAACTCAACTCAAGCATCAAGTCAGGCATCCTTCCGCCACCCAGAACCCACGTTAAACAAAGGAGAAGTCGAACCAATCTTCTCCTGTTCTATAATCAATTAAGAGTGATTGTAAAGCGACTCTTACTAGGCGATAGAGTTTTTTTTCCAAAGCTAACACAGTTAAAGGAACCAATCATTTTTTTGAGACCCTACAGAAGATTGTGACCAGAGTGGGAGACGTCATTCTCTCTGATGAAATGATGGTGGCGTAATTAGATAAGATTGTGGTTGGAATTGAAGTCGAGACTCTTGTAATCTAGTTCGACCAGTCTAAGTACGAGGAGTTCCTCTCCTCTCGTACTATGAGTCCTTCAAAAGCACGTAAGTGCCGTAGAGACTCTTATGAGACTTTAGCCCACGTGGCTTCTGATGATTCAACTCGAGC